TGAGTACCAATGAAAGCAGACTTATCCCCAAAGAGAGCATTCATTGATGAGGTGTGACAGCGGCAGGGAGATGACACTGCAGAGGAGGGCAGAGCTGGAGAATGAGAGATCATTTCAATTGTGGTCTCAGGAAAGGAGGCGGGAACGTGGGGGATACCAAAGCTTTCCGCTCTGTGGGCTGTCTCAGGGGACTTCGTAGTCCCAGCTCTCTTCCTCCTTCCCACCCAGGATCTTCTCCGGGGAGATAGGGGCGGGAGAGGGAAAAGTGGCATTAAAGACGTTGGCCAACTGAGATAGGAAGTCTGAGGCACATTCAAGGGTATCTTGATCAGATTCCCATATTTTGAAAGAGGAACATCAGTTCCAGGCCTGTTTTAGAAAAATAAACCTTTGACAAGCCTCTTAATTATATATATTTGCTGCAAACATTTTATCATAGACCAAGCTAACACAAGGTAAGCAGTTTTCTTTTTTTTTTTCTTTTTTTTTTTTTTTTTGAGAAATACAGCCACATTTACTGCTCCCAAAACAGATGAACCAATTTCAGATTTGAAAACCTGTCATTGTTGATTTAAACCATAGTTGACTTGGCTAAACCTTGCAAATCTAGACTTTAATTGCCCTTAGGCCCAGTTTTTATTATATGACTTAGGTAAATAATGTAACAAATCAGCTAGCATTTTGATCTTGTAGACTTCAGTTGTGAAGTCACCACACTTTAACTACAGTAAGAATGAGAGTGTTCTCTTGGGAATGGCTTTTGAAGGAGCTGAGGGGACAGTAAGGGAGAGATTCATCAAGTGTTTGCCAAAATATCAGGAAGCACCGTCTGGTGCCTAAACAATGCATGTAATTCTGAAATTAACAAGTCAGATAATATTTCAGTCCTCCAGGCTTCCTGCACACAAGGGCAAAGTAACTCAAACTCCTCAATCAGAAAGTATCAAGGATTCTATGAAAAAGGACAGAGCTCCCCAAGCCGTTGGTGGGAAATCCATGCAAATAACCAGGTACAGGATGTACACGTCCAATGGGGACTGTTGCTAGATCCCAGTCCTAGTAATAAAGAATTATGTATCTTTACCTAAGGACCAAATAGAATGAATGGGCTTTGGCCCCAAAGATTTTTGATACTAGGTTCACATGCCACAAAATCCATTTGGAATAGATCGTGTGAGTTACATAAAGGTGACCGGGACATGGGAAATAGGGATAAAACAGAAACTAAATTTAAAGAAGAACATAATTTAGGATTCTTTCTCAGAAGACCGTACCTGTAAATTTTAGCAACAGAGGAAATAGAATTAAAATGGATCCAAGTATCTCTCTCTAACCTTTCTTTAAACCCTCGATAATGTCTTTTTGTCAAGTCTTAGCCTTCTATGCTGAAAATGATGTATTTTTTTTCTTTCCTAGAAAGCCTCAAGAGATATTACATGTTGCTGAACAGCTTCTGAGCACAGTCCCTGAAGTTAAAACAAATGTTTTGACCCAGAGATGAAGGGAGAACCTGGAAGGGTAAGTTAATTTACATGGGACTGTACTCAATTTTTCTTCTCCAAGATCACATCCTCTCTTTTGTACGTTCTAAAATATAAATATATTTGTTCCTACTTGAGTCATGGAAAGTGACAAAAGTCAGGTGTCAATGCAGGTGAGATTTAAATAATCCTTTTTCTAAAAAAGTCATAGAAGATTATGTAACTCCTGGGCTTCTCTGAGAACTGAGGAGAGCAAAATATTTGACAGAACAATGAAAAAAGAATCCACCCTTGACTCTGTAGAGCAAATCCTGAATGCCTTCATACTACTGGGGAGTTGGTGGTGAGAAGCAAAATTTCTGAGAAGCTTGAGCAAACCTAGAAATCTGACCCAAGTCCTCAGGAACCAGGATTTGTAAATCTTGGCAATTCTTGGTTTACATTTTCAGATTATGAGAATATTTGAAAAGCTCGTAACTATAAATGCAGTGCAAATGAAATGAGGTTTAAATAAGTGAGTACTAAGAGAATTTGGACAAGTAGAAATCCCTCACCACGAACACAATAAGCCAGATTGGTGAGTTACTTTATTCTGGTAATATGCATTTCAGACATGGATCAATTCTTTCAGACTATTAGGGTTCTAGTTAGAGAATTTGTTCTTCTAGAGATTTAATACCTGGAGAAAATAAAATTTATTTGAAAATGATATAGACACACACTACACACACACACACAACTGAACTGGTCAACCTAGAACTAAGTGCTGAGCCAAACAACTGTATTTCTTCTTGCGGCACTTTAAGACAAATCCTCTAGGAAGAGGCTGACTCAGGGCTATTTAGGAGAGAATTTGGCCCGTGTGCTCTCAGAGCTGTTATTCTCTACCTTGGTCTACTTTGCTCTAATCAAGAGGTAATTTAAAGCCATAAGGGAAAATTCCTTATGTGTAACTCCATACTAAGCCCTAGAGCTAATTAACGGAACCCACGTTCAGAGCTTTACAGATATACAAAGAAACCCAAGATCTGTACCGCTAGTGAGAACGGAGAAAATTAAGTAGCTATTGAATTAACAATAAATGCATTACTGTGATGTTTCTGGCAGAAAGTAGTGAATTCTCCAAGAAATATCTGGCCAGTAGATTCTTATGACCAGATCACGTTTGCAGGTGGTATATTTTTTTATTATCTGTTGGAGCCCAATTCAAATAGTAGTTTTGCTCTTAGTGGTAACACTGGTTTAGGAATACTTTGGAAGAGCACAACTTTAGTTCACTGTCGACCAAACTGGGTTTGTCGGAACTCCAGTTTTTCAAAATGTTAATAGTTACATCAGAAAAGGAAAAGCTTTGCACTCAAATAAATTATAGAGAAACCCTAAGGTGAGCAATATTAAACAGAATTCTTTTTTATAGGACTTGCAGAGAATTCATTAGGCTCATGTATATTTAAACATCAAGAGGTGGTTAAAGAATGCAGCATTTTCCCAATTTAGTAGTCTATCCCATCTTTCTTTTGGAAGAGTGCTTGCTGATATCTTAAATACCTGTTGTTCCACAGATCAGAGCGTGGAAGTCCCTAAAAGAGTGAAATCTCACTTCTTCTAATGGAATAACCACAAAATCTTTTCACTTAATCTTTTTGTGGATGGGTTCATTTGAACTCCGTTTCATTTACTAAGCTGCTTTTGGTCAACTTTAATTTAATTTAACAGAAAAGAACAGCTACAGTCACAAAGCCCTTTTATTAATTGCTCGATGTTTTCTCTTGTTGGACAATGAGTTGCAAATACAACGGTGCAAAATGAAGATGAAGTATTTTCTATTAAGTCGTGGAAGACTAGCCCTCCACTTTCTCTTTTCAGTTTGAAAGACCCCATTCCACCTGCACATGGGAAATAGGAGTTACAGAAAAGTCTTGATTTGTAATATTGGATATGTAATATGAAGTAATTTCCAAAAGTGGAAAATGAATTTCTAAAAGATCTATGACAGTCATTAGGAAAGTCAAATGAAAAATGACTTAAAGAGGCAATGCTTCAATCTTTCTGTCTCATTTCCACCCTTTATTAAGGGAGAAAGGGGTTTAACTATGCTACTATCCAATCGGCAAAACGATTTCTGGACCTGTCACTTTTTTATTGGGGTCAATTTAATTTTATCGAAGCTCCTCAAAATTTCAAATGATAAAAAAAAAAAAGCCAGCTTTTTGAAAGTCAAACCCCCAGGTGGTATGTCAAGAAACAAACCTAAGAAACTTCCCACTCACTGTCCAAAATGGGCCTCACTTTCAGGTCCCTCTCAAATGTATAAAGAATGGACATTTCCTATCTGTCCTTTGCTGATTAAATAGATCACATTTCAGGAATCCACTCTGCATTCAGTGCTTTCTCAGATATGAATATATGCCTTGAAAGCCATTCACTGAACATTTAGCCAAACAGAATTATGTCTCATTTGAACCAGATCACTGGTGGTAGGGGCAGGATGCCATTAACAAACAAACAAACAAACACTATCATGTTTTAACTTTGAGTAACAGTCATTAATACAAACTGAACTGGACAGAGATCCTTGGGTCAGAGGGGTCAAAGTACCTGCACAATTTAACCCATTTGTAGGACTCTCGAGCCTGGTTTTTCCCTCTACTCTATAGGGAGTAGAGGGAAAAACCAGTGCTTTTTAATTAACCTTGTTTCTCCTCACCTCTTTAAAAATGAGACGGATTCCTCTTGTGTACACAAGACAATTCTCAAGCTAAAAGGAAGTAGGGAAAAGCCCTGAAGTGACCCATTCAAGGTAATACTGTATGTACAGTACATATCTGAATGGAAAACATCAGCGTGGTAGCTGGTTACTTCCTGTGACTGCAGCAGTCCAGGCTTCAGACAGCTATCACTGTAACAGATCCTCAGCTGCTTGTCTGGGTCATCCTGGTTTGTGCTGGCATCGGAGGAGAACTCCTTATCCACAGAGCTTTTGAACATCCGAATCCTTGATCTCTGCTACAAGGTCAGTATTACCCTATGAGTATAGATAACAACTACGTGCTCTTCCTATTAACCCATTAGCAGCAACTGATGAAAGGAAAACCAAGTTGTGTTTAAACGGATGATCTTCCTCACAAACACCTACTTTGCCTTTTATAGGTACAACTAAGTGGCACACAACCTTCTGGAGAATCCGAGGGCTTTGTTACAGTAAACTGGTCCAGGGTGATATCACAAGTATAAAAAATATTCCATTCTGTATCAAAACTAGGCACATGCCTTTATTTATAGTAACAGAAGTTAACAGAGTTGAGCAGTTTTGCCTTGGGCCCTATTTCTTGGCATCCTATATCAGACAAACGCATGGTCCCACAACTCTCCGCCCATAACTCCAGGGATCTAGTCTCGGGGTCATCTCTATGGAAAGGAAGGTGAAATCACACTTGGATCTATAGTGGTGAGTAACTAAAAGCACAACCTCTCATTCATATTGCTTTAAAACATATACAGCATATATGTTTCAAAAAAAAAAGAGTAAAGAATATATTGATTTCATTGTGGTGCTGAACCAACAATATGGTATGATGCAAGGCTTTAACAAATGAGAATCATAGATACAAATTTTTCCGTAGAGTATGTTTTTGACAAATGTGTCTTTTTAATATGTAAATCCTACATTGTAGGTTGTTCCTTGTTTTTTTCTTTTGTTTTTGCCATGGTAGAAAATGTGGAGTAACTGTCCATGAGCATGAGCCAAAGGTTCAGGTTCATTACTGAGATCCCCAGAATGCCGATATTTGCAATGCAAACAATTAGTATCCCACTGTGAAGGGCTCCGACACGGGTCTGCCTGCCTCCCTCTAGGTGGAGAGTCTCCATGAGAAGTCCTCCTGCTCCCATGGACCCTGCTTTGCTCCAGGGCAGCTGCAGGAGGCCACCTTCTAACCTAGTCATTAATTGTGCCAGCTGTCTCACTGGTGACCAACACCGGCCCAGAAACAACAGCGTGAGTGCTAGACCCTCAGATCATTTTCATGTTGAACCTTCTGGGTCCAGCCACCTCCCCTTCCACAACAGCACCATTGTTTTTTCGGGGCACATACTCGAGGTCAATGCTGTTTTTATGCTTGCCTTTCCCTCGGCTCCACACAAAAAGGAGGAGAAAACAAAATAAAACCACTCCCAGGAATGTGAAACAGCCCATGGCCGTAGACACCAGTATTGTTTTGAGGTCCAGGGAGAAAGTGTTGGCATTGGTGCCGTTGGACATGGTGTCGTTGGAGTCTGTCATGTACATAGGGGTCCTGTTGGCATAAAGGAAGCGGTCTGAGGTGAAGCCTTTCACCGTTAAAGAGGCCGTATAGGTGTCGTTCCCCGCCGCGTTGCTGGCGATGCAAACGTACATCCCGCTGTCTTGATCCTGGGCAAAGCGGATTTCCAAGGTGCCGTCGCCCAACACGGTGGCTCTTCCGTTGGACTTGGCAGTGATAAAACGCCTCCGCGGCGTCACCCAGGAAATGACAGGCTGAGGGTCTCCGTCCGCGCTGCACTCGAGTTGGACCGTCTGCCCTTCGTCCACTAGCAGATGCTGCAGCTTCTTTTCACGGATTTTGGGTTTTTTGCAGGTAAAGTAAAAAGAAAGGGCAGTGCTGTGGAAATCCTTGAACGATCTCTCGCGGATGGTGTCGGGGCCGGCACACATGGGCTGCTGGCCGCCGAACTGCAGCGTGGGGTGCCGCTGCAGGATCCACAGGAGACGGCAGTCGCAGGCCAGAGGGTTGTTGTTGATGCTCAGGACCTCCAAAGCCCTAGGGGAGGAGAAGACGTTCTCTTCCAAAGTCTCCAGTAGATTCTGAGACACATTGAGCACACGGAGGAAGCGGAGCCCTTGGAAGGAGTGAGGCTCAATGGTGCGGAGCTGGGCGCCCACTATGTGAAGCTCCTGAAGGCGGATCAGGTCCGAGAACATGCCGGCTTCGATGGCGCTGATGGGATTGTAGGAGAGGTTGAGGTGGGTCAGATACACCAGGTGTTTAAAGGCGAGGAAGGGGACTGTGGACAGGTTGGTGTTGGTGATGGAGAGGGATGTGAGGTTGAGACCATAGAGGCTATTGGCAGGCATCATATCCAATAATGGCCAATAGTCGATCTCCAGATGTTTCAGGTGGAACAGTCGTTTAAAGGCATACACGGGCATAGTGTTGATATTGAGATGCTTCAGATGCAGGCTAATGAGGCTGCGGAGGTGGGAAAGGGCTTCTGTTGGTACTGCCGTGAGGTTGCATTTCTCCAGGGTGAGCTGTTCCAAGCTAAGCAGTCCGCTGAAAGCCCTGTGTGATATATAGACCAAATCGTTGTCCCCCACCTCTAGAGACTTCAGGTTGTGCAGGTCCTGGAACATGTAGTCCAGTAAAATGACAATCTTATTCTCACTAATGTCCAGCTTGGTGAGGTTGGATAGCCCCGTGAAGACCCCTAAGGGGACCAGTTTCAGGCGGTTACCTTTGAGGCGGAGGGAACGAAGGTTAAAGAGATTGTTAAAAGCTCCGGGCTCCACATTGGCGATGATGTTGTCACTCAAATCTATCTCCTCCAGCAGAGGATAGGATATGAACTCTTCAGGGTTGACACTCTTCAGCCTGTTCTTGCTGAGGTCCAAGATTTTGGTCTCAATGGGTATGCCCTCGGGGATGGCGATCAGCCGCCTTCTGTGGCAGCTTACGGATTTGTTCTGGGCAGAGCACTCACAGCGAGCAGGGCAGCCAATGGTGGATCCCATGAAGAGTAACACCACAGCCAGACCCAGGAATGGCTGCCAACATGATATGGCCGTGTGAAGCATGACTCCACCTCTTAGTCTACACCTTGGTCACGGGCCTGCAGGAGAAGGCAGGAAGAGAAGTTGAGTTAGGATATGGATAGGTAGGGGTGCCTGGGTGGCTCAGTCATTAAGTGTCTGTCTGCCTTCGGCTCATGTCATGGTCCCAGGATCGTGGGATCAAACCCTGCATCCTACTCCCTGCTCGGCGGGAAGCCTGCTTCTCCCTCTCCTACTCCCCCTGCTTGTGTTCCCTCTCATGCTTTGTCTCTCTCTGTCAAATAAGTAAAATATTAAAAAAAAAAAAAAAGGGACATCAGTAAGACAGCAAGTGCCACAGAAATGACCATGGATTGGGAATCACACCGATCTGGGATTACACCCGAGAGCTGCCCTTATTAGCCACATGGGGTAAGTTGTGCCTCCCTTTATGTTGTTTTTCTTGGCTGTAAAAGGAGGATGGCAGTAATAGCATCCCAGAATTAGGATGATGTCAATATTTAACAATTATAAAGAGACTACTACACTGCCTGGCACAGAGCGTGAGGCACAACAACACACCTTTCACAAAAGGCTCTATTTTGAAGTCACACTCAAGCAAAAGAGGTCAGTGGCTAAGAGGAAACATTCAGTTTGAATCAGTGTCCACATCTCTAATGCTGGGATATCATCCTCTGCTCAAAATGAAGCTAAGAGAAGCTTCATTTGATATCAGGCTCTTAGGTTCAAAGTACAAACAAAGTTACATTGAATACAAGAGGCTGAGGCTTCATTTCCTTCATGTATAAGCTTTCTACTAAAAACTGCCAGTTAGAAGGTATACATCCTTCAGAATTCGGTTAAGTCTTCATTTATGCCTTCATAAATTTTCTCATTAAATTTGTGCCTTCATAAATTTTCTTTTTTGAGGAAAGCATAAAAATCCTCAAAATCCTTGTATGCTTTGTGTTTATTATAGGAAAGAGACAGAATGAAAGCACCATAATGGCTTATGATGATGAAAATGCTTTAAGAGTCATAATTTTAAGAAAAAAATTTTTAAATAATAAATGAACTATCCTTTCATATTCACATTCAAACCCAGTGAACATCTTAAACTGAACGTAAATAGGTATCAGATGATACTGGAGAGGAGTATGCTTTAACAGTAGATAGGCAGACCCTGAACTTACTGTTCAACTGAATAGTAAGACAGGTTATTCTTGAGCTTGGCTTCTCTACATGAGATCCTGAGGGGGACACTTGATCCACAAACACCATATTTTACACAAGTCTCATGAGTGTAAAACAGTATTTTCAGATAAAAAGGTATTTGATCAACTTTGGTATTCACTCCTAAAAGAGCCATTGAAAGTACAATTTTCCATTCATAGTGTTTACATATATGTCTGTATGTCCATGTAAAGCTATGTCTACATCTAAATAAATATATCCATAAAAACATAACTAGGATCAAACCTAATGGTGAATCACTAGAGAAGTGCCCCTGAATGAACAAGGCAAAGATTCAGACAGTGCTCCAAAATCCATTATTTAGGAACATAGGAGTTGGTATTATTAGAAAGGACATGGTAAAACTAAGCATTATTTGTAGATCAAACTATTGTTTAAAGTACCTGAAAAATGATTAGAATAGGAGAATAAATTAAAATGGTACAAAACATTTAAAAAATATCTTAAAAAATGATTAGTCACAGGATCTCAGAAAAAAATTAAATTCTTTAGAATAAATTTAATGAAAAATACACAGAATATGACAAACAGCCCTACTAAGAGAACAAAACTTATAAAAAAGAGACATAATAGATTCAATATTATAAAGACATTGTTTTTCAAATCCAAATATATCTCTGATCTATGTATATATTGAGAAATTCAAAATTTCTTTCTTTGAAAGAAGATAAATATGACAGTAACCAGAAATTAAACAGTAGTAACGGCAACAGACCCTACAAGTTATGCAAAATAAAATAGTACGCTACATGAAAATACAGTCAATGAAACAAAGTAGAGAATTAACATAAAGTATATTTGAAAAGTTAGTATAGGTGAAAGGTAGCATTTTAATTCAGTGAGAAAGATATAAATGATTGGCTAGATATTTAGTGGGAAAAGATATACAACTTCACTTGGTCCAAAAAAATAAATTCCAGATGAATTAAGGATGAGAATGCATGAATAGATATTGTATTAGAAGAAAATTCAGTAATTTTATAATAGAGTTGAAAAGCATTTTCTATGAATAAAGCCAGAAACCATGAAAGAAAATGATCTATTTGGCTGCATGCATTAAAAAAAATAGCATAACAAGCAAATAAACAATATACACATTGAATACCCAAAGACCATGATCAGTCTGGTACTAAATAGCTTTTATTAATCAAGAAGGAAAAGAGGTAAATGTCAATAGAAAATGAGGCAATGAATGTAACAAACACTAAGAACAGCTAATCAGTGTATGAAAAGATGATCAACCTCACCAGTAAGTGAAGAAATGCAGGTTAAATAACAGAAACATATCATTTTAACCTAAGTTTAATCCCTATTTTTACCCAGAATTAGCAAGAGTAGAAGGAACTGATGGAGGAAATATGAACAGGCACAGCCTTCAGGAGGCTCAGGGACAACAGTGAGGAAGTTACTGGATACATTAAACTTAAATACATCTAAGTTCAGTATGTGCTTCCCTTTGAACCATTTTTTCCCTAACTTTGAATTTTTAAAAGCCACTTTGAGGGATGACTGACATACAAAAAATTATATATTTAATGTACGCAAGTTGAGGCACTGGGAGACAAGTAGACAGCTGTGAATCTATCACTACAGGCAGTGCCGTAAACGTAACGACTGCATCCAGAAGAGGGTGGGTCTGATGAGTCAGATTTTTTTTCTGAAGATCTACCGTAAGAAAATAATTTGATTAATGTGTACAGATGTTTAGTACAGGTTCATCAGGGTTTGGTTGGCTCGTTTCGTTTTCTTATCTTCCTAAGGTGGAATCCGAGAACATTGATTTCAGACCTTCATTTCTAATATAAGCTGTTAAAATTATAAACCCATGAATTGCTTAGTTGCATTTCAGAAGTTTTAATATATATATATATAAAATTCTTTTTTTTTTTTTTTTTTAACTTTATGCTTCTTTTTGACTGATGGATGGCTTAGCATAGAGCTAGCTTATTCCAAGTATGCAGTTAGATCTTCTCTAGAGTCTTATTGTATTTTTTTAACTTAATTCTGTTGTGGTCAGAGAATTGCTCTGCAGCATTTCAGTCCTTTGAAACCTGAGATTGTTTTACAGATCTTTTATCATTAGAAAGGGTCCATCTTTGTCTCTAGTAACACTCCTTATCTTCAACTCATTTTGAATGATTACTGTAGCCACTCTAGCTTTCTTGAGCTTCATGTTCTCTGGGTGTATCTTTTTCCATCCTTAACTCTCAACATACTTGGGTCTCTGTAGTTAGTTTCTTTTATAGCCAGCAGGTGTCTGGTTCTTGTTTTTCACTCAGTCCCATGATCTCTGCAGTCTCTGCCTTCTGTGAGATTGCTTTGTCCACTTATACCAAATATAGTTAACTAAAATGATTGCATTCCGGGGAGCCATTTTGCTATTTGTTGTCTATCTGTCACTATTTGAATTTTTTGTTCCTTTCTTGACTTTTTCTATTTTAATCTTTGAGTATTGTATTTCAGTTCTTTAGCCTTTCTGCCCATGTTTATGTATGTTATTTTTATTTGTTGTTCTAAGGATTATAGTATACAACTTTAATTTATCACAGCCTACTTAGAGGTGTCATCAAATTGCTTCAGGTAAAATGCATAACAGCCTGGCAAGTTTATTTCCATTTTCGCCCCCTAGCCCCCACAATCATCCTCCATGGAGAAAGAGAGAGAGCGAGTTCTAGGCAAAGAAAATGGGGAGTACAGAGGCATGGAAGTGATGGAAGTCCTCTGTGATTGGAGAATTAAAGTCATCCATACTGGTTGGAGCAAATACAGGAGAGAAACAGATGAGAGGCCGAAGAGGTAATTAGAGGAATGATTTGCAAGAGGCTTGTAAACCATGATAAGCTGTTTTCACTCTATCCTGAGGGCAACAGCAAGACATTAAAGTGTCTTATGCAAAAGAGTGATATGATCAGATTTATATTTGGGGAATATTAATCTGACTGCAGCATGAAAAATAGATTTGCAAGAGGGAAAAAGTTGAAACTCCTGAAGCTGTTGCATTAATTCAAGCTGGAATAGAAGTGGTCTCGATTAGGGTCCTAGGAATAGGCTTGGGTAAATGGACAGATTGAAAATGTGTTCTGAAGTAGAACAGAGAAATGCTTTAGTTATGGATGATCTGTGAGGGATGTAGGAGAGGAAGGTGCCAAAATGATTTCTAGCCTTTTGTCAACTGGATAAGACTCGGTGTCATTCCCTGAGAGAGCAAGCTTAAGGGAAGGTAGAGGATAAGGAATTCCTGGCTTCCTCACATGTGCCTGTCAGTGGGCCAGCATGTGTGTGTTCACTGGGCAACTTAATGATGTTTTTACTCCTTGAAAGTAACATTTTTCAAATACTTTTAAAGTAGAACAGGGAAAAATGTATTTTCTGTTGCATTTATAGGACTCTGTGTTCAAGGCAGAAGTTTGATTACACACTCTGTAGTCTTCAGTTTATTTTGAATTGGTGGTAAAAATGAGTTTTTTTGTTTTTGTTTTGTTTTATAAATTCTGCTGAGAGTTAATCTTCTCTGGCAGAGTTTGGCCAATCTGCATATCACCAGCTAGATATGGAGATAACTGGCATCCTATTTCTGATTTATTTCAGTAATGCTTTAGGGAAAGTTTATTTTATTGCTCGGATCCCTGAATCTGGCTAAGTATGTCTAACATATGGAATGACAGTAGCTAATTCAGACATAGCTGCAATTTAACCAGAAAGGAGCTCAACTAAGATGGATAGTATCTGGAGTTTTTTCCTTAAATTTTTGTTTGTTTGTTTGTTTCAGAGTTAAGGACCATTACGAAGAA